ATGGGGTTTCCCGGGGCCTGCCGACAAAGGGCTTTGATGTCAGCAGGGGAGCGTCATGGCTGCCGCGCTGAGCAGACAAACAGCTGATTAGCTGTTTGTCTGCTCAGCGCGGCAGCCATTTAAATTTAAATGAAGCCGCGATTATTTAAATCGCGGCTTCATTTCCCTTTGCCGATCAGCCTAATCTACATGGCTCCATCGATGCAGCCATGTAGTTTAGACACACCCTGAGAGAGAGGCAAAATGATCCGGCTCGTATGGTAATGCTTGTATAAGCTTCTGCCCCAACATGCAGAAGGGTGTGTGTGTGTGTAACAGCAGAAATACAGAGTTTGTCACCAATACAGTTATTACTTTTTTAAAACAAGATTATTAAATACCAGGCTGTGATGAGTAGATTTTATTTCCTGTTATGTTTTCTAGACCCACATTTCTAGTGACTGGACCTCAGAACATCAGGCCTGGTGCAAATGTGACTATCGTGGTAGCTCTGCTGACAGATAGCCCTCCACAAGTCACAGTGAGAGCTGAAGTGCTCAGAGGGAATGATACTGTGCTACAAGGGGAAGTTACCTTTGAAAAAGGTGAGTTGGCAGCCACAGCCAAGAGTAGTGGGTCTCAACCTTTTGGGAGTGCTATATTGCTTTCAGGAGGCTGATTTGTCTTGTGAACCCCAAGTTTCACAAAACTACTTGCTTACAAATGTAAACATACAAACGTGCCATAGTACACTATTACTGAAAAATTGCTTCCTTTCCAATTTTGTCTGTATGAAATTTTAGTTTGCACTGACGTTGCTAGTACGTTTTTGTAGCTTGTTGTAAAACTTGGCAAATATCTAGATAAGTTGATGTACCCCCTGGAAAGCTTCTGTGTAACCCCTGCATAATCATTGGCCTAGAGAGATTTAAATAAAAATTATCCTTTCTCCAAAATATCAGGGCTGTTAAAAACACATTAAAACATGAATTTTGTTTGAACATACTTGGTAAAACAAATCCACCTTGGAAATCCTATTTCCAGCTAACGGTGGAATTGTTTATTGAATAATTAATGGTTTATGTGTGTGTGCACCCATTAACTCACAATAAGCATTTTAGAAATAATATATGTAGTATGGGAGTGTCACATGACAGGATATCTGTCTGGATTTTAAAAGGACTCTGGACACCGGGACCACATGAGTCCAATACAGAAGTCCCCTCTTTTACCTTTGTTTTTGGGAGGATATTTTTTTAAAGATATCTAAATCAAACAGGAATTGTTTTCGAGAAGCTATAAGGCTTGTGTGAGACAGGAAGTCAGCTTAGATGATCACAATAGACTCCTCTATGAATACCACATAGAGAGGGGCAGGGAAAGGATTTAGTACAACACATAAAAATGGTCTATTTAATTTCAACCCTGACCTAAATATCTCTGTTTTGTGTCAGTTTTTATATTTTTCCTAGTTTTCTGTTTGATACTTGGAAAGGCAAGAGCTAGACACTGGTGACAAAGGGCTGAGAAAGTAGCAGGGCCAGAAGCAAGCAAGCTGTATCAAGCTCTTGTTTTCACAGCAGGACTTGTTGGGAGTAGGAGGAGTTCTGTCCTGGAAGCACAGAAGACTTATAGCATAAAAGGCCATAAGTAGGGCCCTACCAAATTCATGGTCCCTTTTGGTCAATTTCACAGTCATAGAATTTAAAAATAGTTTCATGGTTTTAGACATTTACATCTGAAATTTCATGATGGTGTAACTGTGTATGTGGGAGTCCTCATCTAAAAGGAACAAATACAGAGAGTTGGGGCATCACCACCCTTACTTCTGCACTGCTGTTGGTGGGGGCTCCAGCATAGATGTGAAGGTTGCCCAGACTCAGTGGGATTATCACTTTTGAGGGGGACCAGCATCATCCTTACATGAGGGCAGCTGCCCTGGATCCCATGATTGCGGAAGAGGGGCACACTGTGGTTAATCCCCAACCACTGGGCCTGGAGCTGGGGAGGAACAGGGTAGGGAGCCCCAGCCAGGGACTTCTATTGTACACCAGATCCCAGCTGCTAGCCCAACCAGGCTGGGTTGGGATGGGGCTTCCTCTTCTCCTCCAGGGGCTGCTCCTGGGACCAGGTCAGACCCAGCCTCCAGGAATTTCCTTTGGCTGCAGGAAGGTCAGCATCTGCTCTGCTTTTAGAGCTCATCTTGGCTCATAAGGGTGTCACACTGGAAGCTGCAGCAGGAAGCTCCGCAGCTGCTGAGTGGGAGTCCAGCTCTAAAAGTAGTACAGAAGTGAGTGAGGATGGCAGTTCTGACGGTGGCACGTCCATGGAGCTTCCTGCATCTGGGGGAGGTTTCTTGCAGGGGAAGAGGAATCCTGCTCAGGACTAGCAGGAGCCCAGCAAACCCACAATAGCCAGATTTCATGGCGGAGATCGAATTTATAGTCTGACACATGTTTTTCTTGGATATAAGTTTGGTAGGGCCTGAACTGTGAGCATATAGTCATCTATGCCATTTAATTTGAAGGCCCTAGTTCAGCAAGATACTTAAGCATATGCTTAACTCTGAGATAAAATAACCTATCAGACTGACACTCTTTAACTGCCCTCTGAATAGCAAAATAATCTTGTGTTGAATTATGTCATGATTGAATAGTGGCTTGTAAAAGTTGCTTCTGTCAATTTTGTTGACATTCTCATTTGATCTTGCCAACTGGCTGATGTGTTGACATCATTTTGATATATACTGTTTCCATGGTGCTGTTAACTACAGTGATAATGAGGCTGCCAGCTGTTTGTATGCTACTCAGGGGCAGGACAGATATTGGTGGGATACTTTAAGCTATTGACTGTATCATCTATTCCAGAACCTGTGACTAGTTCTCCACTTAGTCATCTATGCCATTTAATTTGAAGGCCCCAGTTCAGCAAATACATACGCATATGCTTAACTTTAAATGTGTGAGTAATCACTTCCTACTCAGTAAAGCACAGTGATGATTTGGGCGTTAAGGTACTTAAGCAGATGCTTAACTTTAAGCATAAACTTAAAAATGTATTTCTAAGTACTAAGTAAGAATCAGGACCTCAGTTGGTATGAGAATTTGGTCCTTATTTAACATAACTCTTTCTTTATGTAAGAAATAGAATAGAGTTGTCTATTCTCTAATGTTCGATAGGCTTGCAGTTTTAAATATTATAATTAAATTTTTGATTCCTTAGCGATATTTTTAGATGAAATATATATTGCAGCTGTATGGTTAGGTTCACATCTTTGCTTTGCTTAACGAGTAATGTAACAACTGAAACACATATACTGATGACATACCGATCTGTGGTGGATACAGAGAGACAATACAGAAGAGCCAATGACTTGAGCTTGGGTTCACATACCAGAAGCAAAATATTGGACACTGATGCAACAAGTGAGGTTATTTAGAAGTGAAGCTTTGGTTTGGAGACTTAGTTTCCTGATACTGGGGTAGAAAGGAACACATTGAATATGTTTGCAAGCAGAAACATGCTTAAACTAAGGAAAAGCTTACATGGGTAAACAGGACAAAAACATGCCCATGGGACATGAGAAGAGAAGGAGCTTGCATTTCCTGTAGTAGATCTAAGAACAACATGGAAAGAATAGTTCTGGAGAAAATATGACTATGTACATCTTCATGACAGTAGGGCCTTGCTACAGGTTTTTGTGGGTAACTCCAGTCTGTGTCAACTACAGCTCATCTCAACTGACTTGTTCTCCTTTCTTCAAAAGGATAATTATTACCATCTTTGATACCAAATCAGGGGAATTGTCAAACAAGAGGGTTTTCCATTTAAAAACTCTTGCCAGCTAAAGGAAAAACCTTACTTAATACTACTTATCTTTCACATATTTTAACTGTTTTCTCTTCCTTTCTTTCTCTTTAATAAAAGATTAAAAAAGGGTATGTTTGATTTGGTACTAAGCAATCTAAGATCACTGTATACCAAATTCTGGGCCTAGTTTAATAGTTTTTCATGTTGAACAATGACTAGGTTATGCTAACACTTGGGACCCTGTATTCCACCAAAGGGCACGTCTACACAGCAGGGCAAAAGTCGAATTAAGCTACGCAACTTGAGCTTCATCAATTGCATAGCTTAACTCAGCTTTTGGTGCTGTCTATACAGCAGGAAGTCAAAGGAAGAACACTCTTCCTTCGACTTCCTTTACTCCTTGTAAAAATGAAAGTTACAAGAGTTGGAGTAAGAAGTCCTCCAGCTCAGCATTATTTCAAAATAATGGCTTGCAGTGCAGACACACTCTTTGTTATTTTGAATAACATCAGTTATTCTGAAATAACACTGCTTTGTAGACATACCCTTAATTAGAACAACAGAGCCTGATTATGAAACTTACTTTTAAGATAGAGTGAAAACAAACAGCCTGTTTTCATTATCTGTACAGTACTGAATTATTTGAAAAAACTCAGCATATAGCATGTGTGGAAAGAACATTTAAAAAAATGTTTACTTGTAATAATATATGAGAGAATTTAATGAAACTTTTAAAAACATTTTGATTAATAAAATATGACTTATGTTAAGCTTTATTTGTTTAAGCCTAGATAAAGTAGAGATGATTAATCTAGAAAGGCTCATAGAAAATGCTGGAGTCTAAATTAGATGCAGGACAATGTAGCACTTTAAAGACTAACAAGATGGTTTATAAACCATCTTGTTAGTCTTTAAAGTGCTACATTGTCCTGCATTTTGCTTCAGCTACCCCAGACTAACACGGCTACATTTCTATCACTATTCTAAATTAGATGTGACTCAAGAAAGAGATTTTGGTGTTTTTATGGATAGTTCTTAGAAACATCTCCAGCAGTCAAAAATGCTAACAATATTAGGAACCATTAGGAAAGGGATAGATAACAAGACAGAAAATATCATACATCCCTGTACAAATTCATGGTATGTCCACACCTTGAATATTACATGCACTTTTGGTTACCCCAGCTCAAAGAAAATATATTAGAATAGGAAAAACTACAGAGAAGGACAACAAAAATGATATGTGGTTTGGAAATGCTTCTGCGTAATGAGAGGTTAAAAAGACTGGGACTGTTTTGCTTAGAAAATATATGACTAATGAGGGGATATGAGAGGTTTATAAAATCATGAATGATGGGGAGAAAGTGAATAGGTGTTATTTACTTCTTCATATAAGAACAAGGTGTGTGTGTGTGTGTGTTACCTGTTGGGATTTTGTGGTACCCAATAATAACCAAATGAGTCAGATGCTGGGCAGAATCAAGGGTCTTCGATACTTCAATTCAATTCAATTCAATTCAATTCAACAAGACTTTATTCAATGTGCACAAAGGCAGAGTCCAGGTACAAAAATCAGCCAGAGTCCCTGAGCAAGGAGCCCTTCCCCTTACTATTTTGTAGCACATGGCAGTTACATAACACAAACCTCTGGCCAATCATATTTAACATTTCCATATATGGATTTGTTCATCACATGCTTATACTTCTCCACTCCACATGTTGAGCTCACCCCCCCTCCCCTTGGCCTTTTCTAGAATGTTCCTAGGGTGGAGAGCCACAGCATGCTTCTTTATGC